TTCCTGAGTCTTATAACTATGGTCCTTCAGCGATGTCATTCTCTCAGAGCCACCAGGTCATTTCACTTCCATTTCCACCTTTGGTTCTGCCTTGTGCTCACGCTGACTCGCCAGCATAATCCTTCTGATATGAGTTCCCTTCCACTCTCACCTGCTACAACTGCTGTATATACCAGCCCACCACCTGCAAGCCGACGGTCCTTGGAAAGTGTGACGGCAAGTATGGCCCAATTCGGAGGGTACCAAACGCAACCGACACCTCAGAGTGGGTACAGGGGTGCCGCAGAAGTATAGGTAGGAAGCGAAAAGGCTCGGTTTGCTTTGCATTTTGTACGGCTGTAGTTCATAACTTTATGCCATTCCTATGACAGATACGTAATTATTGTCCTACCATCGCCTATCTACAACAACCTATATATGCTACTGATGCTATTGAGACCGTTGCTGAATCCTTGATCTATTTAATCCATAAAATGAGCATGCTCATCCTATCTTGAACTGCGCACAATAAGTATTTGGTCCGATGAATGGTCAGAGGTCCTGTCGTCGTATGCAGCATGTGCACGATTGCATGTAATGTTTCTGAGAGGTTAAATTTTACTCGGTATTGTGTTAATAGTAAATACACAATGTGGTACTACATATACACTCTGTTCAGACCGCGAAGTGTTTGATGACGCGACGCGTCTATAGAATGTCACATGAGGTCATTTCTGTATCACATGGTGTGACGCGACCTCCAACTTAAAGTGCCTCGCGGTGTTTTCACGATCTGTCACCTCACAACTCTCCTTGAGTCGATGTCGGCTCCATCAACACCGACCAATGCGTTGTCCCTCACTTCCTCTCTCGACCCATTCTCCTCTACTTCTGTCCCCAGACTTCAGGCCCTCTACTCCGATTTCTCGCAGCAGAAGCACTCCAACCCCACCTCATACCAGTCGAACATCGACTGGTGGCACAGGGCGCTCGAAGCTGTGATAGTCTCTGGCCTACAGAACGATAGCTCGCAGGTGCAGTATAGTGTACGCCGACTTGAGGATGCCTCTTCTTTACCCTCTGCGACAATTTCGAAAAGTGATCGACTTGTTCTTCATGCTGGCCGGGAACTAGTGGATCGCCTGAGGATACCCAAAGTGGGCAAACCTCTAGCGCTGGCCGCTGTACTCGTATGTATCATTTCATTCTTGCCGTTCCTCATCTCTGTGCTTCAAATAATTAGACACGCGACTGACTGAGATATCTGCCCCAGCAAGTCTGAACTACGCAATACCCGAACCGTTGTTCTGCTTTCCGATTTTCTTACGGCCAAAATGCCCCTATATGATCCAGGCTGGCTGCCTGCCCGAATAGCTGCGTTCGTCGTGGGTAAACCGTTATGGTGGGCACTTGAGCAAGTAGGTTTAATAGGTGAAGAGGGTCTGTTGAGCAGTGGAAGCAGGAAATACCCTCACAAAGATACCAGTTGGTGGGGGGACTATGTCTTCATCTCGATTGTAGAGAAAGCTGCGGACGCGGTTATTGAGAAACAAGAACTGACGGCAGTGGATCGTGGGGACTTTTTATTCACGTTCGAGAGCTTCCGATCGAAATTTTCAGGTGTTGCCGGTGGAGATGAAAGTCATGCTCTCAGGGAAACTGATGCAAATGTATTAATCAAGTATCTGGAACGCGAAAGAGGTGTCATAGTTATTGACAAAGAGGTTCATTCCTTTTCATTACTCATGTTCGTATCCTTCTGATGTATCTTTCCTTTAGATTATAAAATTCGTTGATAAGTCTGCCTCCTTGGAAGAGCGCACGATCACTGCAGTGGATCGTGGAATTCTCGAGCTCAAGAGTGCAATCCACAATCTTGGGGCTCAAGTGGAAGCAATTCAAAGCAAAATCGAAGAGTAAGATCGCTGTCTTTTCAATGGCCCTGATATTTATTCAACCTCGCTCCAGATGCACACGCAAGGCGTCTTCTGCGCTTCAACAGAAACGTAAACCAGCAGCCTTAAATTATCTTCGGTCACGTAAACACCTCGAAGACCTGTTACACAAGCGCCTCGCCTCATTGGGTACCCTTGAATCGGCATTCATCACTGTTGAAGCTGCTGCTGGTGATGTAGAGGTCAGTCTATTCTCTTTCGACAGCCACTTGCAGAAATTCAACTCCTATTTCATTCAGATCATGAAAAGCTATGAGTCTTCCACAGCCACCCTGCGTGCCATACTCGCGCATCCATCATTAGAGCGGTCACATATTGACCAGACGATGGAAGCCCTTGCGGAAGCTAATATAAATGCTCGGGAAGTAGATGATGCTCTCCGCATCGGGGGTAATGTTGCCCTTGGGGTTGACGAAATCGTAGACGATGCTGAGTTAGAGGAAGAATGGAGACAAATGGTTCGGGAGGCTGAAACCACCGAGAGATCGAAGGAAGAGGGAGACGTTGGTCGCAAGTTGCAAGAGGTTTCCGTAGCACCTGTCAATGCCCCGAAGGCTGAGACGGAACAAGTTTTACAAGTTGTGGCGGAGTTATGACCCATTAGATTTGATTCGGTCCCAAATACACATTTTCCATGCCTGTGCATAATCGCACTACTCACCATGCAATCATTCCGTAGACATTAATGTGTATCAGCCGCGGCACAATTTTTTTACCTCTCCGTAACTTGGATGAAAATTCCAATACATATATGCAAATATTCCAAACGTATCAAGCCGAGAACATATCATCAAAAGCAATTTATAAGCATCAGAATATTGTTACAAGTTATCGACCAAATGAAACGTTCGGAAATGTAAAGTTAAGCATTGTTATTATTGCCGCCCATTCCAACAGCGTTCTTAGCCTTGTTGAGGAGAGAATCGGAGTTCTCGTTAGAGTTGCCGCTCATGGTGTCACCAGCCTTCTGACTGCTAGATTTCTGGCTCTGTAAGGATCGTCAGAAATGAAAATAAACCAGGGGGGGGAAATACTGACGTTGGGTTGCATGGAGGAGGCAGCGGAGTCGGACTTTCCTTTGATGTAGTCGGAGGCTTGTTCCATCGTGCCCTTCTGGGAGTCGGGCTACAAACCGTTTGTTAGCACAAAAAAAAAAGGAGGGAGGAGCATACCTTCATGGCAGAGCCTGCCTTGTCGGTGAAAGATTGACGGCCGGTGTCGGACATAATGAAGATATTACTGATCTATAAAAAAGGCCAGAAAGTTGAGATGCAAGCGGTCGGCGAATGTGTAAAAAGAGACGAACAGGTAAAGCTGGTTGAAGAGGTCCAAGTGCTGAGGATGAGATGCAAAATTGGAGGGCTTTTATAGATTTTTAGGAAGTTTGGTGACCGCATGGTGACGCCCAATGACGGTGTGGGGCATCGGACCAAGGGGTTCCATCTTGGCTTGTATTCCAGAAATGGCAGGTGATTGTATTTGTGCAATGTGCGCCACGCTCCCTCCGCGCCAAATACGGACCAACAGATGACGAACGGCGATAGCAGCGTCTACGCTACACTATCCTTATGCTATCCTTATGGCACCACTGCGGCTACGACATCCAAAGGGCGTCTCTACTCTAGATATATCCTGGGACTCCGGGTTCACTATTCAGGATCTCCAGCAAAAGATATATGCACTCACCGACATCCTCCCTTCTCGCCAGATCCGTTAGTCTCTTTTCCTGTCTGGTGTCCTTCGACATCTTCTCATTCCAAGTCGCGAATTAGTTAAATGTGGATATCCGCCAAGACCATTGACTTTGGTACCCGAACTTCCTATTGAATCGCTGGGGCTCCAGAGGGGAGAACAGCTCATTGTCACCGAGGACACAAGCAAGCCAGTCGCGTCTCAAAGTCGCGTGCAACCCCAAGCTTCTTCGATACATCAACAGGCGACTTCACCGATATTCCAACACAAGTCTGCTTCTGCTTCGCCCTCAGGGCCCGATAGTGTAGAGGTCGATGGAAGTTTCCTTGTCCATAGGGTGATTATACAGAGTTCTTTTTAAGTTCTGCATTTCCTCATCATGACCAAACACGCAGATCGTACCCGATGATAATTCATGTCTTTTCTCGTCTGCAGCCCTGGTATTCGAGCAAAGCATTACCAAAGCGCCTCAGATGCGCAAGCGTGAGCCTTGCTTCTGCGTCGCGTGGAAAGGCTCCTCACTAATGACAGCTCCCTAAGTTGTCGTAGAAGGCATCAGAAATAATCCATATACCTACAGCGAAGCGATTCTAGGGTGAGAGTCGATCCTTATTCTTCTGCACTACCTTTCCAAGTTGCACGATTAATATAGCATGCCGCCTACTCAATATCTTGCCACTATTTCCAAATCCACCAGCTGGGGAGGGGCCATCGAGCTCAGCGTTCTTGCTGCTCATTACTCCACAGAAATTGCCAGCATAGATGTAGAGACTGGCCGCATCGACCACTTCTCCCCAGGAGAACATATCACTGCGACCAATCGTGCTATCCTCATATATTCTGGCATCCATTATGACGCTGCGTCGCTAGCGCCCGTGCCTGACGCTCCGGACGATTGGCATCAGACCATTTTTCCTATTGTAAGCAGATATTCTATCCCCATGAACGGCGAGATTAATTCATGATTTGGCAGCGATCGTCCGAGGATAATTCTGATTCAATTCTTATCGCTGCGAAGAAACTCGCTGACATTCTACGCACAAAGAAGGCCTTCACGAACACTGCGACGTTCGATCTGAAATGTGAGGTACGTCAAGTTGTCATCAAGAACCGCAGAGCAGTCTGCTGATCACAATTGACGTCCTTCCTAGCAATGCGGTCAAGGGCTCAAGGGCGAAAAGGGGGCGCGAGCACATGCAGAGCAGACTGGGCATGTACGATTCGGGGAGTACTAGCTAAAATGTTAGACCCTCTACATAGCGAATACGAAGTTTAGACTTGAAAACAAAATCAAAAATATTCACTAAAAATGGGTTCAAACCTTCAGGGGCACCCCGCACGTGTTGTACAGGAGGAGACAAATTAACAAAAAAATGGGGGCACCGCGGATCGAACGCGGGACCTTTAGAATACACAAGTTGCTTCAGTCTACTGCTCTCCCAACTGAGCTATGCCCCCATATATCTAGACTTCCTTGTGCATTACTATATTGGTAAAAATATACTGCTTGGGGTTGCATTCCTTACTTGCAACCTTGCGACGTTCGTTGGCAACTACGACCATGTCTGGCACTGGGGCTCGCGAGAATGTCTTCGCAACGCGTATGGCCCTCACTAATACTAAGCTCCGTCTGAAAGGCGCACAGACTGGACACTCACTACTTGCCAAGAAACGAGATGCATTGACCACCAGATTCCGAGCGATCTTAAAGAAGGTCGATGAGGTACGCACGAACTCGCCCTTGCCTTCCCCACAGACAAACGTATAGCACCCTTTGGCTGACGAGCTCAGCTTTAGGCGAAAAGGAAGATGGGCCGAGTTATGCAGCTTGCTTCATTCTCGATGGCTGAGGTCACTTATGCGACTGGAGACATTGCCTACCTCGTTCAAGAGCAAGCCAAGCTGGCGACTTTCCGAGTTAAAGCAAAGCAAGAGAATGTATCTGGAGTGGTACTTCCTGCATTTGAGGTTGACCGAGTAGCTGGATCAGGTATATTTCTTTCTAATTTCATGATATGACATTTAGAACTCAAACTCTGGCGTAGATTTCAACCTTACTGGTCTCGGAAGGGGTGGTCAACAAGTTATGAAAGCGAAGGAGGTATATGCCAAAGCCCTTGAGACCTTGGTTGAGCTTGCGTCGCTGCAGACTGCCTTCACTATTTTAGACGAAGTCATTCGTGCTACGAATCGCAGAGTAAATGCAATCGAGCACATCGTCATACCCCGATTGGAGAACACCATCAAGTATATCATGAGTGAACTTGACGAAATGGATCGAGAGGAATTCTTCAGGTTTGCCTATTTAGTTGTTGCAACATTTATGCTGATATTTTACTCAGGCTAAAGAAGGTGCAAGGAAAGAAGAAAAGAGACACAGCGAACCGCGAAGCAGCTCAGACGCAGAAAGAGAGCGAGACTCATGAACCGACAGCCGTTGACATATCACTCGAGGATGGAGGAGGAAGTGTCGACTTGCTCAGTAGCAAGGACGAGGACGTTATTTTCTGAAATTCATTGTCGTCAAAGAGTATTTTGGCAAGCCCGTACAATACTGCATATTTTACCCTTCCAGACATCTTATTCCAAATCAATGATAATGAGCAATTCGACGCATAGGACAGCAGGATGAGATCAGGGCATGTGGCATAGCTTGCGTATATACATGGAGGGAGTTTTGGAGGTCAAGTGCAAAGCTGTAGCAGAAGAGTTTACTGCGAAGACTATCAGATGCTTGCACGAAACCAACAAATTAACCACACGTACATCAACCATCTCGACATCGGCAGCAGCCTTAGGCGATTTCTTTCTGTCCTTCCTCTCCAAAATTGCCCGTCTGAGTGTAATTGAAGCAGCGCGGATAAGCGTAAATTTTGATAACAAATTGCAACAATACGAACCTATCAGTGTCCAGCTTAATGGTAGTGATGACAACATTGCTGGGGTGGATTCCAATAGGGGAGGTAGCGCCGTTTGATTTATCCCTTTGCACGCGGTCGACATGGATCACCCACTTCTTGCGGTAGACCTGGGTGACCTTCCCTTCACGACCCTTGTACTTTCCTCGGACAATGCGAACTTCGTCGTCTTTACGAACTGGGAGAGAGCGGCACTAAAAGATGCAAAGGCTTTAATAAAAATTTCGACCCTTGCAAGCTATGTATCCATCCTCACGTTATACTTAGCACGGAGCTCCTTTGCGAGGGATGACGACATAATCTTGCGGCGAATTGAGGAGGGGGCCGAGAAGTGGGCCTTGCGGGACTTGCGCCGTGAGGAGGAGACGTCTGAATAGCAGAACAATATCATAGGTCAGCATTTCATCCCAACAAGCCTCATCTGAAAGTCAGAGAACCCATCCAGCCCAAATCTTGATGAAATTCCATCCAAACTCCCCCAAAGATGCCACAGGCGCGAAGGATATGAATGGCAGACGCTACGCACCGGCGTTGAACTTCATTTTGTCGGAGGGGGTGTCTTGAGGTCGGCTTGGGCGATGAGGAGAGTACTTTCGCGAAGCCTCTGGGAAGGTTATTCCCACGGTCTCATCATGTGATACCGACTATTGTCCCCTCCTCACCAGTCTCTTGTTGTTCAACTCTTCTTCCATTCATATCTCTAAATGTCGGACAAAATCCACTCTACCAAGTTAAAATTTAAAGGCGACAAACCAAAGAAGAAGAGAAAGAGAGAGGCTGGCGATGACGGCAGCAGAGTTGGAAGTAGTAGCAGACAGAAGCTCGACGACAGGGACCCAGAAACATGGGTTCAACCAGAGAATGTGAGCGAGTTGCGCGGGCCTACTTTTATTATCCATCCATCCGACCCCTCTCCAATATCTGTCAATTATAATGCTACCACCAATCGCCTTGTTCTCTCCCCACTTGACAAAGATAAATCAGAAGAGGACTTCGACATCAAGGTACTTGATCGAGTACCGACAGATGTGTCCCAAGTTTGGGTGACTACTCGCGTGGCTGGCTCCTCTACCATTAACTTGCGCACTGGAACAGGGGAAGGGAAGTTCCTCTCTTGCGATGCTCATGGTCTTGTATCGGCGGACCGCGACGCCCGTGGTCCTCAGGAAGAATGGACGCCGATTGTATTGCCCGACGGCATGGTGGCATTTATGAATGTCTATGAGAAGTACCTGAGTGTGGATGAAGTGGCTGGTGGCCAAATTCAATTACGTGGTGACAGCGAAGAAGTTGGCTTTGCCGAACGATTTTGGGTGAAGATTCAGTACAAATATAAGAAAGAGGCCCATGAGGAAGAGAAGAAGAGAAAGGATGGCTTAACAGCGCCTCCTATGATAGATGAATCAGGCACTAAGTAAGTAGTTATGCACTCCTGAATAGCATTATCTCTGTTAACCACACTTGAAGCCGCGTCTACCAAGCATGGGGTGCTGGCCGTTCTATCGTGTCAACCGAAGATAAAAAAGAGGTCTGCCATGTTGCTTGTCACCTAACTACAAGTTGTGTATTGATGTCATCCAGCTCAAGCGCGCCCGAAAGGAGGGTCGGTTAGCAGAGGCCATGCTTGATCGCAGGGCCAAATTGAAAAGGTGTGTGTAGTTCGTAGTTTTGCCTCAGAAGTTGCTCTATGGTTGACCGTGACAATTGTAGCGATCGGTTCTGCTAATGTATCCATCTGCCCGATGTACAATACTAATACTCACGCCTACACCATGCCACGTTCAGGAAAATATTGAGTTTGCCATTTACAACCTTTCACGCACTATGGAAGTAGGATGAACATTAAGGCTTATCATTGCGTACTGATCCCTCTTCTAGTCGAATAGGGTTTGTCTCCATTCCTTAGTTGAACTCAATTCTCAAGTCTGGTCTGCCAACAGGTTCCAGAGAAGTTTGACCTGTATAGGAAGGTGCAAAGTAATGTTCATCTGTTTGTGCAATGCTCGTTCTCTTGAAGCTATACCTTCAGTCAATGCCACACATCGAAATTGGATGTGTGCTTCACTTTCTTTCTAACTACTGTGGAACCTTTCCGACGGGCAGCCAAACCTCATATGTATGCGAATACCGCCCACATAAACTGTCCGATGGAGTGGAAATGTGGTACATGACCATTTGCAGTCGTTTGTGCTCAATTTTCCATTATCGAAGCAATGCTTACGTGTCCGGATGAATGTTAGTCTCTTGCTGTCGATCTTCTGAAGCGGTGCCTTCGGGAGAGTCTGGATGTAAGGAGAAATACTCGGATACGTAATGGGATGTCTCAACCCCATTCATTCAAGAAATATATGACCATTGTGTGCAATGCCATACACCAATCTGTCATGCACAGAGTTTCAACATGGCCAACAGAAATTATTTTCCGTCTCTATTAACATCGCACGTAAACGCGGTCTTTATCTGCTTTCAAAACAAATCGTATTCGTGGCGTATCTAGGCAGGAAAGCAAAGGAAAAAAAGGACGTGTTTATCTTCAAAGCGTACTACATGTTGCAAAAAGGAATTTGATGAGAATCGTAGCACCAAACGTTTAGAGATCTTCGTCGTCCTCTGGGAGAGGAACAGCCTCGGCCTACACAATTGTGAGGTATAGCAAATAAACAAGTTCAATGAAACTCACCCGCTTCAATTCTTGCTCGTATTGCGCCATGAGATTTTGATCGACGGCAACCTCGGCAGGAGCGAGAGCAGGAGCGGCCACAAATTCAAGAGTTGGGTTTCTTTGGAATGATGATCAGCGATTGTGGATAGACATATCAGACCAGATCAAGTTCTTACCCAACGAGCTTCCGTGCCAACCACAGGAAAGGCTTCTCGAAGTTGTAGTTCGATTTAGCCGAGATTTCAAAGTATTGCAGGTTCTTCTTTCTGTGGAAAGTGACAGCACCTGTCTTCACTTTACGTTCCTGGAAAACTAATCAATTATCGAGAAGAGCCCAGCGTGGTGAGACTATCCAACCTTAATGTCTACTTTGTTTCCGCAGAGGACAATGGGAATGTTTTCGCAGACACGTTCAAGATCACGATGCCAGTTGGGGACATTTTTGTAGGTGATACGGGAGGTGACGTCGAACATGATGATGCCACACTGGCCTTGGATGTAGTAGCCATCTCGGAGACCACCAAACTTCTCCTGACCAGCGGTGTCCCAAACGTTGAAGCAGATTGTACCAAAGTTGGTTGTGAATTGGAGAGGGTGGACCTCGACACCCAGAGTAGCTGAAGGAGAAATATACAGTCAGATAGTTGAAGAGCGCGTCAAATCGCACAAGCGCGAAATTGAAATTGAAACTATTATCGCGTACCGATATATTTCTTTTCGAATTCACCAGTCAAATGGCGCTGAGCGATGGGCGAGATCAGCACGCGATCTTTGGAAACCGAAGAAGATGGATGAACGCACCTTGACGAAAGTGGTCTTGCCAGTTCCACCGTCACCGACTGCATCCCAATATTACGCCACACGAGCCACAGAGGTTG